TATACATATTGTGTGTGTGGGAGATTTGCAATGTTGGCTGAATAATTTTAAGGCTGTCATGATTTGCTTTTTCTTCTAAATGGCTGCCGCAGTAAACTTCTGGTCTCTATTATTGAAAATAATATTTAGTTGCCAAACTTTGACCATACCCGTGTGCGAACTTTTACCTGGATCACTCTAAAATATACGATTTATCATGGATGGAAGCGCACTTTCTTTAATAGTCATTTTGCTGCATGTACCGTTAAATTTGGCAGGTTGGCAAACAAAGCTTATAATCTTTTAGGAATTGTATGCTCGAAAGTGCTGATGAATAAACACTTCAGGAGCACAAAATCACTGAGTAATCGGGCGTTTGAAGAGGCATCGGTACATTTTCAACTAAGTTTTATTATATCATCTACCATCTTAGAAATACTTCTGCAGTGATTCACCTAAGAAAGATTCGATAGTAGAGATCACCTCCTGTGCCTTGCTTTCCACCTCGGCGGAATCATCTGTAAGTTTCGGGAGGAAATAGCAACGATAAGAACCCAATATGGGTTGGCACATTTCATGGTGATACTACTAGCAGTGAAGAATTACAAGCCACGAGGCACATCAATGTGTTTGTTTGCCCACGTACTGAAAAGGCCTAGTCGACTCATACGACATGGGAAATACCCTAAGCGTAAACTGCAGAGCGCATACACACAATACATACCTTCCATAGCCTCAGCCAAGAACGGAATAGTTTCAGGTAACAATAATAAGAACTCTTCGCCCAATCGCGAGTACAGCTCCTTCTCCACAGTCAGAGCGGCAGCGCGCACCGATGTTTCGTGATGTCTTGTCATCAGCAGCAGCTTGTTGTTGAGTGTCTTCCACATATCATCATCAGCAATTGTTACAGCGAATTGTCCAATTACCTGTGGCGGTGGATAAGCAAGTAGAGTGTGCGGTACGTTAGTATCCAGACCGTACAGCTCCCAGCCGTGAAAAATTCGTACACACGTGTTGGATCAGGATGACTATCAGTCACACGAGTGCCTAACCAATCGTGTATACCGTAGCAAACGACATGATTGTGCACACATACTCGTGCTCAATTACTATGCACACATACTCGTGCTCAATTACTATGCACAGCGCAACGTACGCGACCAACACCCGTGTCGGCAGCCGAAACAGAACTGATACCCACACACACTTACCTCAGTCAGTAGCGCGTTACGTTGTTGCGTGGCTTCTAGACCACCAATGTCGTTCTCCAACTGATGTAGGACCGATTCATGTATCTCCTTGAACACCTCACCACTTATTGATCCACCTTTATTCTTTTGCCCTATAGAACCCAATAAACAGACTAGATTAAATGAGGCGCCGGGAATACTTTCGTGAACTGCAAGAAGACTTTGCGGCGGTATGTTTTACTCTTAACGTATTGATTACGATTATGAGGAACTCATGTACAAATCATCAATAAGTCTTGCGTACATTTCAATCTTTCGCTTAAAGTAGCACCACTGGTTTCACAAAGGGAACTCTATGCAAGTAACATAAAACAAAACACCACCAGCCATGCAGATACATCGGCAGAACAAGCACTGTGAATAGCCAGATCTTACACGCGAGCAATGCCAATCTGGCTTGCACATACCCTTTCGCTTGGACCCAGTGTTAGGCGATGCGCTATCGAATAAGAACAGATTGTGCAGGGTCGAGAGCAGGCTGTGCAAAATCGCCGGCACCACCTCGTGTTGTGCACGCACTTCGCTTGGCATGCTCTTGGATGTGTTGTACATGTTCAGCACAGACACCATCGGGGCTGCCAGATGCTTGATGTAAGGGGCGAAGATGGTCTTGAGGGTACTTGATAGCCTCTTCAGGACACGCCAGAAGATCTGGCCTCTGCAGACCAATGGAGATCGAGTCAGGTTGAGATGGGATGAAGAATGAGAAGCTATTAAGAAGGATTAGTTGAAGGATATATGATTTGAGCGAACCCAGCATACCGGCCCGATTTCATTAGAATGCACAATCAATCACGACTAAACGGTCATCAGAGATACATGCGCGTCCATTACGTATCGTGCGAAAACTGTGACCCAGAGCCCTCTAATATCACTGTGATATAAAGCCCTCTAATATCGCTGTGATATAAAGCCCTCTAATATCGCTGTGATATAAAGCCCTCTAATATCACTGATATAAAGCCCTTTAATATCACTGTGATATAAAGCCCTCTAATATCACTGTGATGTAAAGCCCTTTAATATCACTGTGATATAAAGCTCTCTATTATCACTGTAATATAAAGCCCTCTAATATCACTGTGATATAAAGCCCTCTAATATCACTGTGATACCCATTTCCACAGACACAGCCCCGCAATCAACATTGGCAATACCACCGACAGAGACTAGGAAGCAAGAGAGGTGCACCACAAACAGAAACCGAACGTGTATACATGCCAATACAGCCCTACGTGCAGCGTAGCGTACCTCAGCAGGAACTTGGCCGAGTCCTTCATAGTATTCGTGTACCACGAAACCAGCGTCAGGAATAACGGCTTGAACGACGTCTCCGACAGCTTCATGACCATGCCTACAAAGGCGTCGGCACTCGCATCATCCACCCAAACGTTACGCACAACGTCTTGCTCACCCGCACGCCCCTCAGAGAACTCAAACGCTGTTAGAAGCAGCTTGAACAGGCTCTTGTAGTGCACCAGCATATCCGATGGGGACATTCCAGCAACGACCGAGCTCAGCATACGCACGCACACCATCACTCTGTACGCTTTGGTCTGAGCCGGCAACTGGGCCGTGTTGACGTTAGTGTAGTATGCGTATAAGGCTGGTAGTATGACTCGGGGTGCCAGTACGACAGCTAGTTGGTCACGCAGGTCAGAGATCTTCTGAGTCACATCACCTGCGCCAGTACCGCTGGCGGGTGATAGCTCGAAGGATTCTTCGGACGAGAGGTCCTGCAAGGAATGGGGGATGTGGGTACGGGTCGAAAGGCGAGTGTGAGAAGGAGATATACCTGGTAGTGTACTAAGGCAATCTGTACATACCAACAGTTGCACGGAACTTTCGACCAAGTCACTGGTAGCAGGCCTTACGCACGCCTACTAGACGTTCACTCATCACCAACACATGCACACACACATATATATGAACATACACACACACACACGCGCATATGAACACATTCACACAAACCACTTCAAGAAGGTTGCTTACAACAAATGCACACAAAACACCTGGCAAACGGCTCGTGGGTGAAGACACACACAGTCACACACACACACACACTACTTCCACCGGGTTGCTTATCCCCAACACCCACGCACCTTCTTGGCAAACGCCTCGTGCGTAACGATACTGAGGATGTCACTCAGTCTGTTCGAGATGAACTGCGGCAACACAGCCACACACGAGGACAATGCGACCAGTGCACTTTTGACCAGGAGCAGTGAAGTAGGACCGAAGACGGCCTTGCTCCGGTCGGTGGTGTTGCGGGTGTCGATCTGCGTCTGGATGGTGTTGAGCAGAAGCGGTAGGAAGACGGGCAGCTTGGACATGACCTGTGTACGGGAGAATGTGGGTATGTATGATGATAAATATTGATGTGTGTATGTATGATGATAAAAATTGATGTATGTATGACAAGTGTCCAGAGGTTGAATATCCGGACAGGATCTGAGGTCATTTAGAAACGTTAAGATATATATAAGGTAGTGATGGTTAGAGACAACCGATATGTATGCATTGGCGTTCCGATATCCCTCACTATCGCGTAAAAACGCATTGCCTTCTATGTATATACAGCTACGCAGAAAGATTAGGCCAGTCAAAGCGAGGCTACACAGTTGGAAGGGTTGGAGTCTTCACGTGCTGGCAAACGGCACACCCTCACTCTACACACATACACAAACAGCTCATGTGGAACAAAAGCACACATGTACACAAGGTTAGATAGATTTTGGGTATTGGTCTATCCATATCCTCACTCTACACACATACATAAAGAGCTCGTGCGGTATATTTGCACACAAGTACACAATGTTGGATAGGCTTTGTGTATTGGTGTACCCATATATGCATGTAGTTCGTAAGTACGCACAAGTAGACTTGTACGAACGCGTTTACAATCAGAATATATGGATACATGCGCCATACGACCACCCGAAGGCAACCGACACAAACACAAACACATGTACTTATGTACACATGCACATACATACCTTGGTACCAAGTGCATTGATTAGCGAGCCCAAGCACACCATTGCACTTGCTTGTAAGTGCAAGCTTTCGGACTGCAAGACGGCCGGAGAGATAACCACCGGCAACGCCCGTACAAAGGGTTCTGTGACGGATATTGAAGTGTATTTCGAGTATGGATTAGGGAAGTTCTTTTCAATGTATACATACAAACATATGCAGATACACACACTCACTCACATATATCATCATGTATAAGAAACAGCTGCAAAGGTGAACAATGCGAAACGCATAAACGGCCCTAGGACATATAGCACTGTACCCATACATACATTCATACACCCACATACCCACACACACGTATACATACACGCCCACATCCACAACAAACAACCTCACTCACCCGGATACTTAGACGCAAAGTGATGTGCGAGCACCTCCAGATTCAGCATGGCGCTCTGCTTCATGCTGTTGGTGTTGCTGCTACCATCCACGTTGGCCTGTACAATGCCATCGCCTGAGGGGTGCTTATCCGCCACTAACTGCACTAGATGGTCCACCATGCCCACAAACAGGATGGCTGAGTCGACCTGGCTGTCTCCGTGTGGGCGTACGGGCTCTTCCAGGATAAGTTCGTTCTCGTCCTGGGGAGAGATGGAATGGGTGATTTGGGATTCATGTTAGGATTTGGGATTTTAAGACTTGGCGGGTATAAATTTTAGGACGGGGGGTTTTTTTAAGTACAAGATTTGTTGGGGTTCAGCGTTGTGGGTTCTGAAAAGATGCGAGAAGGGGATGTTGGCTATGCATTGGGTGCGTACATGCGATGAGGCGTAATGGCTGGTTGTATGTACTCGCAGTATAAAATACCATCGTTCCTAGACAAGCGATGACGTATATAGTGTGTACGAGTATGCGTGGGCAGGGCGATCCTTGCACACACAGGGGCGTATCAAACGATCAAGAAGACCTGCAAACGCGCAAACGCCCCAGATACATATATACTTGCAACAACCAACACCTCAGGTACACAGGCACGCATGCTATCCAGACACACCTTAGTCTGAACCTCGAGTGTCTTAAACTCCTCCACCTTCAGTGCAAACAAGCGCAACGCTCTACATCGCACGGTGGTATCGTCGAAGCGGATCAGATTCTTAACCACTTCCACAAACATTGGCAGCGGCAGTAAGTTGTTCACCGACTCCATGCACAGGAAGGCAGCGTCCAAACAGCCTGGTGAGTGGTCACGCGTGTGGTGTAGGGGTTGGGAGGGGCAAGATGAGCAGCTGACGAGTGAAGGTACGGATAGAGATGCAACCGCAGTGGTCCAGTCGTTTCTAAGATCAGCGAATAAGTCAAATATATATATATATATGTGCACATTAGGTGGGTTCTAATTGCTGTGATGACAGCTTACCTTTCCAAGCCCGCGTAAGGGGCGTGTGCTTCTTGCTGGCGCCCTTCTGTCTGCTGAGATGCGACATGTGCTCTGTGACCACACGTGACAGTGTCAGGATGCTCTCGAGTAAGCGCAGGTACTGGTCTTGCAGACTCTCCTCATCTTCGTCCATGTGATCGCTCTCTGATGGTTTACATCATATGATGGAGATGTATATGATGGTTTACAAATAATGAAGATGTATATTATGGTTCATATATAATGTTGGAGATGTATATGATGGTTTACATTTAATGATGAAATTTATGTTTCATTAATATATATACATTTTGACGGAAAGAACACAAAAGGTGTATTGTCCGTGTTTGTATGAGGGGAGTATGCCCTTTAGTACTGGTCTTATAACCCTAAAACCCTGACACCTCGTCGTTGTCTGTGTGATCACTCTCTGATGGTGTACGGGTAAAGGTGGAGTTGTGAATATTTATGATTTCGATATATCATCCATGTATTGGCAGTGTAAATGTAACTAGAAGATACGCTCTAGCAGGCTCAAGTACAGATCGTTCAGAATTAATTGTTCTTGTCCATTTGTTGCTTTCCGATAATAACTAAAAACTAAATACCAATCGCTAATATACAATGTCTCATAATATTGATCAAGCATACATACATACATACATATATATATATATATATACATAAAAATAAATACCTTGCTGGCGTTCCTTCATAGCCTGTGAGCTAAACATGGAGAAGGTCCTGGAGCCCAGAATATTAGCGACCACTTGTACGGTAATGCCTTTGAACTGAGCGATTTGCAAATCACTGCGTGTGATTAGAGGACACACAGTGCTCTCGATAGCGTGGTCACGCTTCCACGCCGTCTTCTCATGGGAAGTCTCGGGTCGGTGGTTGGGCAGCTCGCAGGTAAAGCTCTGTTGTGATTGGTGGATAAATATAGAATGAGTGACGAGTCAGGCCCTGCTTTGGTGGGTGGAGTGTCAAACAATAGTTTGACTGGAATAACACACTAGGAGTGTTGACTGTAGAACGGTAGATGAGATAGTGACCAACTGCTCACTACATGCCAGCTTGCGTACATGGCGCAGAGGCACTTGTCTGCAGCACACACGCACATGCACATGTGGGATCAGGCTGATTGCCCAGACGGGATATCGAGCAACTATACATACATACATACATACACACATGCATATGCATACATGCCCATATACATACATACACACACATACATTTATTCGTATATACATATATACCTAAATACATACATACATACATACACACATATAGGCAAACAGGCATAGAATATCCATCCAAGCATACCGTCATGACAACAAACGCCGACAGCTGAGCCTTCGTATCAAACTGGGCGATCAACTGGGCGACAAAAGCCTCGACCGAGATGTTCTCCTCGTTGCCATGGTTGCCGGCGGCGTCTTGCTGTGCACGATTGGTTTCGGTCAGCGCGTGGGTGTCCAGCATCATCACCGAGACCAGACCAAGGTACTCGGAGACACCGATTGTACTCAGAAGGTGTGTGAACAGACGCAGACGGCGATGCTGGGGCATGTGCTGATACGCACCCACGAATACCTGTGGGGGGGATGGGTTTAGGTTAGGTTAGGTTAGGTTGGAAGGATCAGACTGAGGTTAACTACACACAGAGAGAGGGAGTGTATGCGTGTGTGGGGAAGGTGGTAGGTACGGCTTTAAAGGAGAGCTGTGATGATACGGCAGATGAACGAGAATGATAGTTCACTTTTGAGACTGTGAGCAGCACTTGCCTTAATACGAACAGACACAGACGGCGGTGCTAATGCACGTGTGTGGGTAAGTATATGTGAATGTGTGTATGTGAATGTGTGTATGTATATGTGTACGTGTATGCAAGTATGCGTGTAAGTATGTGAGTGAGTGAGTTTGTGCTTCGTAACTGTCCGCCATAAATTCAGATCGCATTTGACGTCCACACACTTAAGTGTTAAGATTCTACTCACACAGTCACACACTCAGCTCTAGCTAAATACACTACCCATCAAAGATATGCCTAGTGCACCCATTGGAGATATACCTACCTTCACAATATCCACCCACATCCACCTATATAAATATATACCTTTACAATATCCAGCACCAGCACTTTGCTCTTGACAGGGTCGTTGGTAAACGTCGTGCTGCGGATCAAGGGTGGTATAACCGTCTCTATACTCTGCTTGATGATGTGGAAGCTATAATTGTCGTCCTGGCGCAGCACATTGTCCCCCATAAACGTGAAGATGCTCATGATGTTATGCAGCACTATGCTGGGATACACATCGGCGATGTGGGCTAGTAACTGTAGCGTGTGGTGGTGTGTCTGAGGGTTTTCGGTCATGCGCACACAGCGCACGATCAGCTCAACGTCCACTGCCTTCTTGATCTCGGCTAGAGTGGCCTTGTCGTTCTGCTCGCGAGCCTGGACGTGGATTATAATCGAGTGAGTGCAACCACACATCCATTTGTACTATCATCACACAACCATATAGCCTAACAACACACCTTACTATACCATAACAAAACATCCATCTATACTGTAACAACACACCCATCTGTACTGAAACAACACACCCATCTATACTATAACCACATCAGCAGCATAACCACACACCCAACCACGCCACAGCTCACCTCATCGGTAGTGCGTGTGAAGACAGCCACCGCCGCACACAGCGCACTCTGCTTCACCGACTCGACTTCAAAGTGCCCCGCCGAAATAGGCTGCAGATCAATGCAGCGACCAATCACATCAAAGAGATCGGCCAGGAGACGGTACTCGCCTGTGGGTATGAAAATGGGCGTGGGTGTGGATATGAGAATGGGTGTGGGCGGACGTGTCAATGTAATGAGTGGGTTCAGGGGGTGGCGGTGCGTATGGATAGGGGCGTAACCTGATAGTACAAAGGATAGGGGCGTAACCTGATAGTACAAAAGTTAGGTCAGGTTTGCTCTGGTTGATAGGGGATAGAGTTCAGGCTTGGTACACGAGTGTGGGTGGCTATGGTTCGTGGTGGTGATGGTGTTCGGGTCAATCTACGATGAAAGGCTATATGTATGCACATACTATAAGGACCACTCTAACATTGGCGACGAACCACCTCAACATCGATTCTTGTTCTCAAGACTGAAATAGGCCGATTTGATGGCCCAATTTATCAGCCAGAATGCAATATCCTTCCATGATATATAAATAGAACATTCATAAAAACGCAGAAATCCACACACAGTAAAGCCGCCTTCGTTTACAATACCACCAGAAATATATTCAACCGTTGCAGAGTAATAGCTGAAGGAACAGATACTTTGCTCTGATTGACACACAGTGACACGACCGCCTAACTACACAACACATACACACATATATATATATATACATATCTCACACACACACGCACACACACACATATATATATATACAAGTCCCACACCTTCAACGTCCGTCTTTGCCTGCAGCACCTCTAGTATGGTGCTCAGCTGGAGTAGGTTGTCTGCTGGGATGACAGATTCGTCCGCCTGATTCTGATTGGCTACAGCAGTGCTTTCGGAGTCGCTTCTGATTCGCTTACCCATTTGTGGAGCAACTCCGCCAGCGACGTCACGCATTTGGCTTGTGTGTTCGTTGGTCAAGCGCACGAACTCGGAGCGATCCTGAGGTGCAACAAAAATATAAAACGTAAGAGAGAGGGTAGAATATTATACCTACATACAAATATATGTAAAAGGTTGTGTAGGATTATAGTACATACACTTACAATCATCGGGTTTAAAAAGACACAGATACCTAGAAGGGTATAAAAGTAAATAACACCAATACACACAAACACGTACGGCATATATGCATAAAAAGGTATAAAACAACAATCACCCCCCACACACACAAATACATCCATTCACACATCCACACGCGCATCGCATCACATACAATCTCCGTCTTGAAGTGCGTGTGGTCCAGCGGGAGGTGTGCCAGCGCATTCCTGGCTGCAACGATGCAGTGGTTGGAGTTGTGGCGTTGCTGCACTACACCACACAGAGTGGTCACCAGATCTTGCTGTACATCGGCAGACGCCTCTACGAACATCTCGGGCGTAATAGCACGCACGGCTACCATTTGCCCGTGGGTGTAGCCGGGGAATCCTGGGGTGTAGGAGAATAGGTTTATTTATAGGTTTATGTACAGGTTTATGTAAAGGTATATATACAGGTTATGTATAGGTTGAAGTATATGAATATATATACATGTACACGTATATATATACGTATACGTATTCGTATATGATGTATATATATAGAGATAAGGTTTATGTATAACTTTTAGCTATAGGACACCAATTTGGACCGGCTAGTCACGCACAGATGGCAATTATAAGTACACATCAAGTACACACTAGGTACCTTTGAGTGCATCCAGCAAGAATCGGGTCAGGTCATCAACTATGGTCAACATGGGAGCGACCGTAGTATCGAACTGTTTGATCAACATTTCGAGCACACTCACTTCCGCAACGGTCAGTCGGTGCTTTGGCCCGGCCTGTACGGGACAAATAAAGTAGGGTTTCCAACGTAGGGGTGAGACCAGAGACCAGAGATAGCAAACAGGAACAATATGTGGATAGAAAAGGACCAGGGCACAATCTGTTGGGCAGAGATTCGGACAGTAATAGGACAGATCACACAATGACCAATACATCCATCCAATATATATATATATATACATATATGTACGCACCTTATTCCATGGCTTACTACCCACCCATACCGACTGGTCAATGGTATCACTGCTGCACTTCTGAGCCAGCTGGTGCAGCAGGTCAATGGTCGACGGCAGTACCAGCGCCCCATTCTTCAGCGCCACCACAGCCGAGAGTAACAACGACTGCTGCACAGGATTTTTGAGTGCGCACGTGTACGAGGTTATGAAGAGCGCTACACTCTCCTGATACTTCTTACCCACGTGTTTGGGCTTGGTCTGTCCCTCCTGTGAGTGTGGTGTGAGTGTTTGGTATGGGAATATGACATACAATAGGGGTGAGGGTATGTCAGGAAAGGAATGGGATGGAATGGGGCTATGGCGGGGCAAGGGATAGAACACAAGAGTGTGAGCAGGTAATGAGAGGTATTCAAAACAGAAGTGGGATACCGGCAAGTGTTTGCGAGTAAAGTGAGAGCGCTGGGTGAATGGGGTTTGTTGCGTGCGTGAGTGTAGACACCCAGCGACTACACTACAGGGTTTAGAAACAAAGGGTTTTAGGGTTTAGGTCATATAACCAACATCCACACTACAGTGTACGATATGATTGGCCAAATGATACAAAGATACGGTACATATTACACATATACACGCTACAATCCGATATGATTGGCCAAATGATTCCACACACATCATGTACCGAACTTCTCTCCCCTCGCAATACCTTGAGGGCCGATGTGAATCCCTGCGAGGCAAAGGTAGCCAGGTACTTGGCATCGTTCTGGAACTCCAACTGATGCGCCACAATCTCCTTGACCAACTGCGTAGCGTACACCCCCTTCAAGCCCGTGACACCGCTGTGGGCAAACACCGTGCTCGCCAGCGATTGGTAGACGACTGTGCTATTAATAGCACCCAATGAAACCTGGATGTCCTTGGTGCCCGGGTAGTCGGGCATGGTCTTCTGCTCGGTGGACTTGGTGAAGATCGTATCAATCGCCGCAAAGCACTTGAGCGCTAGCTGCCGCACCACGGGTGTCTCAGACACCAACACGGCCAGCAGAGACGGGACAAACACAACCACACTCTCCAGGAGAGGACCGGTCCCTTTTTCGCTGCCCTGGGTCATGTTGGCTAAGGACTGCAGGAAGGCATGGGCTATGGACAGCGCACGCACATGCACCGCAACCCCGTTGGTGTTGGACGCAGTGTTAGACTCGTTCAACCACGACGACGCTAGGAACAACAGCTCAGCCTAAGAGAAGCAGAGAGAGAGAGAGAGGACAAAAGAAGGGGGAGTGAGGAGGGTGAAGAAGAAAGTATGCCAGGAGAGGTAGGTAGTGTATGGAAGGACGGTGACAGGAGGTATAATGTACCGTGTATATATGATAGTACAGACATGGAAGATGGGATATGTATGTGTGCAACCATGGATGTACGGGGAGTATGTGACAACTCACTTTACCGAGTTTCACGTCTAATAGCACGTCACAGTATGCGATGGCACCGCGATCTACACTATATATGCAAACCAGGGGGTAATCCCACTACAGCTGTTATATATATATATATATATATACTATTAGAACAAACACGAGATAATATACGCACACCCCTATTTCACACCACCCATCCCATACACACCTGGGCTGGTATACGGGTAAAGATCTCAATCAGCAGGGGTTGAAACCCGGCCGTGCGGACGGCGTCGCTCATGTGACGCGAGTCCACACTTGCTGTTAGAGAGAACACGCGCCACAGCAGCATGACTGCATGCTCGTCGTTGCCGCCGAGGGCCGTCTTGGTGATGATGCGCTGGAGCGTGCACAGCAGAATGGTCTGTGGACGGGAGATACAGCGGAGTGTGGGTGAGTATGAGGGGGGGGGGAGAGCCGCTGGTGGATGGTGGGTGTAAGCTGGGTGAGATGTGGGTTTGTGAGGTTGAAGGGGATGGAATGAAGAGGTGTGAGTGTTTTTGTTCAGTGCGTGTGTATACGTGTAGGTAGACAGGGCGGTGAGTGGAAGTAGGGTATCGGTGTAGCGGATCTGCGACCAAGGGATGTAATGGCCAAGAGAGTCTCTGGTTGCAAGTGGGTGTGCGCTGGGGTGGCGTAGCGCTGTGTGTGTAGTGTCTGTTTGATCATGATAACAGAGTGGGTAGGTACGCATATAAAGTAGAGTAGATGAGTATATATATATAAACACACACACATATATATATATATATATATATACATAAAAAGGGGTTCTAAAGTAAGACAAGTACATGAGAGGGCATCCAGGGTCATCCAGGGCCTCCCATCCAACTACCAACCTTTTGACAATAAACCGAATGTTCTAGGCATTAAACTAGCGCATCATAAGCCCGATAAGGAAATAACCTACTAATAGCACATGATATTTACTAATAGCACACGATACCTACCTGCAACACGGCGTAGTCTGGAACAGCGCCCGAGTCTCTGTCAAGCACCGACATCACCGCCTTAGTCAACTTCGTCGCCTTGATTTTCTTGACCTTCGACTTACCTACATTGGCGTTTGTGGCGTTCTGATTGGTTGCGACGGCCAGCTCCTGTTCGATAAACCGAAGGGTCTTCTCCACATACTTGGGTGAAGTGGTTACTAGGTGTGGGATACTGCCGCCTGAGGCTAGTAGCAGAATAAACCTGAGTTTACTGTGCATCGCTTTCGCATTCGCATCTGTAGAGGTGCGCGTCTGCTCGCACAGAGTAAAGAGATCTACTCCCAGAGTAGGATTCGCCTGGTGGGAGTAAACATTCCGGGAGTCAGTACAGGGTGTGTGAAGCGTTGAGATCGACAACGCAAGCGACTATTGCTTGGTCATCAGTTGGGTTATAAGTGGCTAGACACACCGATGCATACCACTGTGAACAGAACACGCACAGACACATGCATGCTTACATAGTTGCAAACAGCACCCACCACACTACCTCACCAGTACAAGGCATGCATACACATTCCTTTCTATTGCATATGCGTTTAAACACCCACCCACACAAGTACCCATGCATACAACCATTGTAGCTAACAAGCACCTACGAATGAACGACTAAATTCCCCTACTAACTAAATCAACCACGACACACACCGTCATGTACATTAGCTCACAAGCATACGCACACCCCCATGCCATAGTCAACTGAGCTGTAATCCCCTACCAACTCAATCAACTAAATCAACCACGACACACACCGTCATGTACATTTAGCTCACAAGCATATGCAGCCATAGTTGTACTGAGCTGTACTCACCTTGATGGTCGCAGAGAGGGCCGCAATCACGGCATCGTTCTTATGTACTGTGGAGGCAGTTGGGCTCTTAAACGTCTCAAACACAGCCGGTGTAAATCCGGCAAAGCACGGCGATTTCTGTGGATATAGCGATGGTACATGTGCGAATAATATTAATAATGACAAAAATAAAAATATTAATAATAATCATGATAGTAATAATAATAATAATAATAATCATGATAGTATTAATAATAATACTAATAATAATAGGCTTAGAATGTGCCAGCGAAGGCTCCCGTGTTTCTATACGTAGTACACACAGTACTTGTGCGCGGGGGATGTAGGGGTGTTGGGACTGACTCGAGTCTCAGGGAGCGCATACCTACCTATTTACCTACATACAAATATACGTATATACATACATACATACAGGCCGGTTGATCCATATGATGGATGATACGTAACACTGTGTAGTTCCGACGATTCACAGTACCATGTTTCCGGTCACCCAGTTCACGGGAGTACTCAGGTTTGCAAGGTGTCAGTGCTGTATGGCTACAGTACAGACTCACAAACTGGTACACACATACGTGCCTGAAATACAGGATAGGTACATACGAGCACTTATACAACATGCATGCATACATACAATGCAGACACATCATACACCGATACCCAACAGATACCAACACACACACATACATACACATACATATATATATATACACCTGTAATATAGCTCCCTCGGTGAGAATTTTGGCCACGCGGGCTGCGGGGGCACAGTGAGCGTCGTTGTGGGCAAACAAGCACACGAGCGCATGCGGCGCCACAGTCTCCAACTGCTTACGGTACACACCCAGATACACAAAGAACAGAACGTCGGCGGCTTTCGTGACTACCACAGCATTAGCGCCGCTGTGAAGCATACAGTGTGCGCGGGAGGAAGGGGGTGAGTTGAGGTGAGGCTGTTTTTGCGAGTTTGGGGAATATGTAAATACGTGTGCGGTGGTAAGTGTCTGAATCGAATAACTGGAATACACATTCAGGCACACGGAGAAGTGTACGTTTATGAAGTGTGCGTTTATAAAGTGTGCGTATATGAATTATGCACTTTGGAAGTGTACGTTTTTGTGGCTGTGGTATCTAATCGTTGTCATCAAACCAATGCGAACGTAGCAATGCCATTGCCTACGCCAATGGGAAGTGGACAAATACATCGGATGGTAGTGACATCAGCATCAACGGATGAGCCGAACCACAGTAACACACATGCATACAGAGCATACCGCACCGTTACCATGGAAACAAACATCGATTTTAAATAGTGGGTGGATGGTTGTCAAGGATACATCAAGGTTGTTCATAGACTAAACACGTATGGAATCTCAACAGGCTTTCGAACTATTAGTAGTAGGTATATACATCATACATAACTACTTAGTACACAGGCCAATACTAGAGATTAACAAATTCGCACACACACACACACACACACCTGTACACACAGCGCAAGAGACTCTCCCTCAGATCCACTATCATCTGCTCCTTCGCAGCTAGCTCAGCCGGGTCTTCTGTGGCCACTACCACACCGTTCTTAGACGGCTTGTGTGACTTATGCGATTGCTTCTTAACGCCGTGATTGAACCGTAGTTTGAGTAAGAAGGCCAGTGCCTCTAACGCACCGATCACTACCTTGGTGTCTTCATCCTCGATTCGATTGGAGAGCGCGCGAATCAGGTGATGTTGCTCGGACTCTGTGATGACGCGCTTGTCCATAGTCCGCAGATAGTTGACTGTTTGTAGACGAATCACAGCCTGGCCAAGTGAAGGAAACAGGCGGTGGGCAATAGAGGGAAGTGAGTGAACAAGTTGAGGATTCATATGCGATCGACCCCAGTCCCCATCAAAATGGTACCGTAATGTCAATTCCCCAATATATATAGACACCACGACGCGCATCGCAGTAGGATTGTAACTCATCGGTAAAATATCGAGGTAAGTTGATATGTTTATACAGAAACAAAAAGCCAATTATTCAGACATTACAAGCAATACGTTACACATTCCACTCCTTTCCAACCCAATTTACCTGGGGATGTTCAAGGCAGGTCAACAAACTTCCGTATTCGATTTTGGTACTCTCATCAGGGTTCGTCTCACCATTAGTGGTGTTGGGCTCCTCGGCCGACAACTGCATCGGCTGGTGTCTGGATCCCGCAAAGCACTTTGAGATAAAGCGGAACGCGGCCGGGTCGGCATTCTTTTTATAGATTGGAAGAGGCGGATGATTGTGTAGGTCACACGTGAATACAAGAAGGGTATGAGAAGAATGTTATACAATAGAATAATATACCAGACAGACGAACCTTTCGCGTCCACACACAGATATATTTATATATATATATAGATACATATCGATACACACACACACATATATATATATATATGCGTGGCTCGCCGCATTCGAACCACAAACTCTACAGTACTAGATACATGTGCACGCGTGCGTCATCATCTCCCATCGTATACATGCAAGTATGCAAACCCATCCAAAAGCACATTGAACTAATAAACACACATACACCCACACCCACCCACCCACACGCCTCACCTTGAGCAACAGATTGATAGCAGCATCCATCTGCGTGGGGTACTTAGTCGCCAGCAGCTTCACAGTGGGCTGTAGCTTCACCTCCACCTCCCGCTCCACCATTACCTGTGACAGGATGTTCGTTACAACACCCTCGATCCGAAGCAGGTCCACGGCACGTTGCAGGATAAGGGTGGTCACGTGTGCACTAACCTCGGTGGGCATTTTTACCAGACTGATCAGGCGGTGCAGAGTGTGTACCAGAGACTGCATGTCACAGTCTCCCTCTCCGAGTGAGATCTTGCCTAAGAAGGTGAGGTATGGATATGGATATGGATATGAATATAGATGTAGATTTGGATATAGAGATGCAACGGTTACAGACATACTGAATCATACACAGGTTGTGGTGTATTAAATACTCAGGGGCAATGTGGACATCAAACTGTGAGATGCAGAGCTACCTGTATACAGGTTGTGGTGTGAACTGGATACTTCAGGACAATGCTTGACCAAAACCTGCGAGATGTACAGCAACGCCATGCCGTTGAAACCTGACTGGATTGTACTCGATACAAAAAGTATACCGAATACTTCCACACTATCCGAGCACTCACCTGGTATCGTGTGACATATAGAGCTGCACTCACATACATAGGTAAGTATGGACAGCATCCACGGTCACAGAAGACGAGAAACCGCCAAACGCAGCCTACACGTACACACAGGCACTCACCTGCGAGGCGACTGATGAGTAGTAGCAGGAAGGTTTCCCCGCCATTCTTGAGCTGATTGCCAAATAAGGAAACCACCGATCCCCCCTGTTCATTAACGTGTTGATCTAACGCCACCACCTTCTCGACCACGGCAGTGGGCAGCGACTGAACGTTTTGCGACCGGCATATGTACGCAATACAGATGACACTCGTCTTGTAGTTGACTGCTGTGATGCTCTGTGGTGGGGTTGTTGGTAGAGAGTTTAGTTTGTTGTGGCTATAAGACGGTGTTGTAGTTTAAGAGTGTGTAGTGGGTTTAATGATCTGCCTTACAAACCGTAGTTGTATATATGTTGTGATCTTATAGTTTTGGTATAGTTTTAAAGCCTACTGTGGTTATAAAGGTTTGTTGGGTAAGAACAATACTTCGGACAATAACTAGGGATGTGGCTATTCGACAAGGCATATTGGCTCAGGCCAAGCGGAAGGGGAGGTATCCAGCGAGGGCTTGCGGAGAGGTGATGCAACGATGGAAGACATACGGTGTGTTTGATGCAACGATGGAAGACATACGGTGTGT